AGTGCCTGTTCATATCCTTTGCCCATTTTTTAATTGGGTTATTTGTCTTTTTGTTGTTGAGGTTTTGCAGTATCTTGTAGATTTTAGAGATTAGACGCTGATCGGATTTGTCATAGCCAAAATTTTTTTCTCAGTCTGTAGGTTGTCTTTTTACTCTTCTGGTGAAGTCTTTTGATGAGCATAATTTTTTTTAGGAGCTCCCAGTTGTCTAGTCTCTCTTCTGGTGCTTGTGCATTGTTATATGGTTTGTATTCTGTTTATGCCATGTATTCGGGCTCCTAGCATTATCTCTATTTTTTCCTCCATGATCTTTATCATTTTCGATTTTATATTTAAGTCTTTGATCCATTTTGAGTTAGCTTTTGTGCATGGTGTGAGTTATAGGTCTTGTTTCAGTTTTTTGCAGATGGATATCCTGTTATTCCAACACCACTTGTTAAAGAGACTGTCTTTTCCCCAATTAATGGACGTTGGGCCTTTGTCAAATATCAGCTGCTCATAGGTGGATGAATTTATGTCTGTATGCTCAATTCTGTTCCATTGGTCTACGTATCTGTTGTTGTACAACTACTAGGCCGTTTTGACTACCGTGGCGGTACAATGGGTTCTAAAATCAGGGAGAGTGAGGTCTCCCACTTTCTTCTTCTTCTTGAGTAATGCTTTACTTATTTGGGCTCTTCCCTTCGCATATGAAGTTGGTGATTTGTTTCTCCATCTCATTAAAAAATGCTGTTGGAATTTGGATCGGGATTGCATTGTATCTGTAGATAGCTTTGGGTAGAACTGACATTTTCACAATATTGAGTCTACCTATCCACGAGCAAGGTACCTTTTCCCACTTATGCAGGTCTCTTTTGGTTTGTTGCAGTAGTGTCTTGTAGTTTTCATTGTATAGGTCTTTTACGTCTCTGGTTAGATTTGCTCCTAAGTATTTTATCTTCTTGGGGGCTATTGTAAATGGTATTGATTTGGTGATTTCCTTTATTGGTGTAAAGGCAGCCAACTGATTTTTTGTATGTTTATCTTGTATCCTGAAACTTTGCTGAAATCTTCTATTAGTTCCAGTAGTTTTCTTGTGGATTCTTTGGGGTTTTCTGTGAATAAGATCCTATCATCTGAAAATAGAGATACTTTGATTCTTCTCTACCAATTTGGATGCTCTTTATTTCTTTTTCTAGCCTAATTGCTCTGGCTGGGACCTCCA